TGGGGGAAGGGAAGAGTTGGGGGCACATCTGGCAGTTCTCAGGTATTACTTCTGGCCCTGTGCTCTGAGGTCTGAGGAACCATATGTGTTGTCAGAGATCAAGGCTGGTTTGGCCATGCCCTACCTGCCACACTACTGCTCAGGCCCTGAAAATGGTGTCTCTGGGGAAACAGTATAAGCACTTCTTCTGATTGAGGCTGGTGGCAAGGCTAGCATTTTTCTGTATCATTTCACCCTGCCCCCCCATATTCAAAGACACCATTGCATAAAGAGCATCTGGTCCAGCACACACACACACACACACAAACACATTCGCTGGGCTGAAGCAGTAATTCAATGGTCTGAGCATTTCTGTTGCATGCAGGAGGCCCTGGTTTAATCTCTGACACCGCATGATATCCTGAGCACCACCAGGAGGGACCCCCAAGCATGAGTTGGGAATAGCCCTTGAAGACTATGAAGTGTGGCCCCTAAACCAAATATATGTATATACATATACACACACATTTGCTAAAAATGGAATAAATGACAGAAGAGTACCATTGTGCTTAGAAATGGCCTCAGCCTCCCCGAGAAGTCTATTTTAAGAGGGGAAAAAAGCAGGCCAACACAGAAGGGGGAGTCCAGCTCAGAAGACGGCTGAGCTGAGGATTCAGGAAGTGTTCTAAGCGAGGGCCAGGACATGAGAAACAGTGGTTTCGCAAGACAGCAGAAGGGCAGTAACAGTCATTATGGCCATTCTGCAGCGAAGCTCATGATCTCATCACCAAGACCATTAAATGCCAGAGCTGGAAGAGCATCTAGAAATCTTTTGGATCAATTCACTTCTTATACATATGAGGAAATTAAGGTGAAATTAATGAAACAAATGGCATGGAATTAGGGCCCAATTCTCTAGACTCCAGATGCCAGAGCTGGTATTCTATCACACAGATTGGGAATTATATTAAACTTCCTTTTTCATATGGTGGCTCAAAGAGAAGCCTTCAGAAGCAAGTTGGGTGAGGGTCTCAGTCTAACGAAAGCCTATTCCCAAGCAAAGTTCCCCTCTTAGATTTCTGCTCCATGACAAAGAAAGCGCCTCTCTGGCAAAGCCTTTCTTCTCAAGGGGTGAAAATGATGCAACTCCTCCTAGTTCTCTTTTTAATTTTTTTATCTTTATTTTTTGTTTTGGGGCCACACCCAGCATTGCGCAGAGCTTACTCCTCACTCTGCACTCAGGGATCATTCCTGGAGGATTTACAGGACCATATGAGGGTGGTGGGGAATCAAACCCAGGCAAGCGCCCTGCCCACTGTGTTATAGACGCCACATTTGCTAAAGATGGAGTAAAAGACAGTCATCCCACTGTGCTTAGAAATAGCCTCAGCCTCACTTGGAGGTTCCTGCTTCCCTTTTTGACGAGGCTGTCAGGGAGTTTAGAGCTAAATTAACACTTATTCCTCATAACAGTAATGTCGCTGGGGACAAGCAACACTCATCTCCCCCCTCCTCTGCAGAACTTTCCATTTTTTCAAAGAAGTATTTCAATGACCTTATTGTATATGGGTCTCTTTTGAAAAGACTCTCAAAAAAAATTTTTTTTTTTTTGGAAATCAGCCAGGTAGAAAGAAAGCACGTTTCTTGGGGCTTGCAGGCACCCAGACTGCTTCTTGGAGTGTGGCACCCCCTTCGGAGATCACCCTTCCCCTGGAAGCTCAGGCCTCACCTCCCGCCTTTCCCCGTCGGTCCCAGCAAGGCCACCGCAGAACAGGCTGCATACAAATAAGTAGTTAGAAAATTGTAGGGTCTGCCTGCTCACGAGGCAAGTCCCTGGAAACTTCTCTAAAATGAAAACAAGATGTGGAAGGAGTGCGCGGCGTTTCCTGCGCTGACGTGGCCAACCTTGACAGAGCCCCCTGGGGTGGGGGAGACGCAGATGGTCAGCAGGTGGTGGGCAGCACCCCATCCAACTCCCTACTTTCTGCTGACTCCAGCCATGCATCTGATTCTCCCCCGGACTGAGAAATGAGATCATGGAGTCTTCCTCTCTTTTGGAGTAGAGCCACATAAAGAGATTACAGCGGTTTTTTCTTTTCTTTTCTTTTTGGCGGGGGGAGTGCTATTTATTTTTTTGAAAATATAAGGCTTTCTTTTCCCTCCCTGAAAAGAAATTCCTCCTAAACCACAAAAATTCAGCCCAAGAGAGATTAGGAAAGCAATAAAGGAGCCCACGGACTGGGCTTTTCTTCCCTTCTCTTACCGCCCTGAAAGCATCTGTCCAGGTAGGAAAATACTTAAACATCCCCCTGCAAACATCCGTGTCTTCAGAGGACACTCATATTTATGCATTTGAGTCTGATCCTTCCAGTCACCTTTATTTTCCACACCTTTCTGAGTTTTAAAATGTTGTTCTTTATTGCTATGATACTGGCCATGATTTCCGTGATCATCTACAAGATATGTTCAAAAGAAAAATGACTTGAAGAGGCACTGCTGCTGCTCACAGAACAGTCCTTCCCCCAAATATCCATTTGGATTCCGTTCATGATTTCTTCCCAGTCAGAGCCAATTTGTTCCGAGGGAGACAAGAAGATGCTGTCCCAGCGCTTCCCACACCTTGAAGAATGAGATAGTTCCAAAAGCCTGTGATGGATTTTTTTTTTAGGGGGGAAAAATTGCAAAACTGCAGAACACAGGCAAGACTGGAACAACATCAACATAAAAATCCATGCTGCCTGGACCTTTATCTGTCTCATGTATACATACCTGGGGACAGACTGTGAAATTTTGTGCAGTACTGGACTCACCTGGAAAACCAGGATGAAACTTGGTTTATGTCACACACGCCAGGAAATAGACATTTCTTTTATTTTTTTTGCTTTTTGGGTCACACCTGGTGATGCTCAGGGATCGCTCCTGGAGGTGCTCAGGGGACCATATGGGACGCTGGAATCAAACCCGGGTCAGCCGCGTGCAAGGCAAATGCCCTACCCACTGTGCTATCACTCCAGCCACAGGAAACAGACATTTCTAATGGGATACCAGGTTCAAATCCCACTTCCCAGAGACCCACGATCAAAGGGTTATGGTGCAGATAACACCTTAACCCAAGTAAAGGAAGGGTTAACAACTGCCCTGCTGGCAGCACCCTGCCTGCCATAAGGTTGCTACAGCACAGGGTGCCACTTACTCTTTAAGTTGCCGCATCAATTTACAAAAAGCATCAATTTACAAGCTGGTAAACATGTAGTTGAAACATAATATAACCCATTATAAGACTTACGGAGAGAAAATCCAAGTAAGACCATAAGAAAGGTATTCTGCCCAAGGACAATAAAGACAAGAGCTAGGATTGCTCCATGGTTGGTAGCCCACCTCGTGTGCTGGGGGAGAAGGCAGTTGGGAAAGAGAAAGAACCACTAAGTCAATGATGGTTGGAGGGATTGCTTGGGAGGAAGAGATGTGCTGAAAGTAGACCAAGGACCAAACATGATGGCCTCTCAGTATGTTTATTGCAAACCATAATGGCCCAAAGTAGAGAAAGAGTGAAAAAGGAAAGTGCCTGCATAAAGGCAGGGGTGGGGTGGGTTGGTGGGGGGGGGGAGAAACTGGGGACACTGGTGGTGGGAAATGAACACTGGAGGAGGGATGGGTGGAAACTCAATCATGAAAGCTTTGTAATTCTATCTCACGGTGATTCAATTAAAAAAAAGAAAGAAAGAAAAGAGAAAGGTATTGTTTTGTTGGGCCAGACTCAGTGGTGCTCAGGGACTATCCCAGGCTCTGTGCTCAGGAGTCACCCCTGGTGGTGCTGGGAGGCAGAGGGGACGTAAGTGGAACTGAGGATCAAATCAGGAGCAGAGGCTGTAGCAGATGCAAGGCCAACGCCTGAACTTCTCTCTGACCCTGAAAATTATTCTTTATAGAGTGTATACATCCTGCAAGGTGGACATGTCTGAATATTTAAAGCCATGTTAGAGATCACTGGTCGCATCTGAATGCTAATTTCGAGGCAGATAGAGCAACCACAGAGAGGACAGCTATTTGCTCAGGCTGTGATTCCTCCGTTAGACACAGTAAAAGCGCCCCAAACATATTTAATCATTGTGGTCAAAATGAATCCTTCAGTTTATTTTAAGTTAAGGAAGGAGCCCACTGACGGCAAACGTTGCAAAAGGCTGTTAGAAACAACCAACCGCTAGGAAAGGCAGAGGAAACTGACGGGTACCAGACGGGGAGGGGTTAACACGCTCTCCATAACAAAGGAAAAGAAGGAAAATCCTTAACCTGCGGGCTTTCGCGCCAGCCTAAGGCCAAAAGCTAGAAGGTAAAGCGTTAAATTTTGCGTAGCCAGAGGAAATCTCAAACACAATCCGGAGGGTTCAGATGTTTTCCTGCTGGGTCTCTTCTACCGCTCCGGAGTTTGAAACAGTGTAAGGACTTCAGAACCACCGCTGGCGCCCGGCCGCGTCTTTACGGTACCTCACTACACTGGTCGAAGGGGAGAAAAACCTTTTTAAGCAATTTACGTTCTGAGTTACCTTCCCGGTCCCTATCGCAGAGAGAAGGGAGTTTGCGTGCGGGGCAGTCAGTCCTTGATAAACATCCAACTTTTCCCCCAACTTAATCAGATCGAGGTTTTATGGTAAAAATTCTCCTGTGAAACATGAGAATTTGATAAAGCATTCCTGCACAGTGATGGCTTTTGAAAAAACCGAACAAAGGGCGTACGTTTGCAAGAAAGCAAAAATATGCCTGGAGGTTTTTTTTTCTTCCTTTAAGCAATATATAAACCACTTTCTTGGACACGTTTTTAAAAAACGTAGGCGATTGGCTATGAGTTGTGCCACGGAGTTGACTTCTCACTCCTGACGGGCAAGACACAGGAGTGGGCTGCCGCGGGTGGAGCTGGAGTCGTGCCCCCAGCCTCGCCCCCCGCCCCCGACCCCCGCGCCCGCCCGGGCGGCGGGAGCGAGACGCGCGTCCCCTGCGCGGACCCCCGGGCCGCCACGACTCACCTCGCCAACTTCTCCAGGACGGCGGCGCCCCCGCGACCCGCCCGGGGGTGCGGCCGCGGCCGCCCGCGCCGGCGAGTGCCGGGCCCGGCCCCGGGGAGCGCGGCGGGGCCGGCGCGGCGCGGCGGGGCGGGCGCGGGGCGTGCGGGGGCCGCGGGCGCCGGGACGCGGCGGGCGCGCAGGGGCAGCAGCGCGAGCAGCAGCGCGGCCAGCGCCAGCAGGAGCAGCAAAGCGACCGCCTTGCTGCGGAGCTTCATGGTGCGGCGCGGCGGCCCCCGAGCGAAGCGGCTCCCAGGCGCATCGCGGCGGGCCGCGCGCAACAGATGCGGGTCGTCCCCTTCGCCCGCCCGCCGGGACTGGGTCGAGGTGGCCGGCGGGCGGGCAGCGGCGGCGGCGGCGGAGGAGGAGGAGGAGGAGGAAGAGTAGGTAGGGGTGGGGGAGAGGGGAGGAGGAGGGGAGGGAGTGGAGGCGCGGGCTGGGCCAGGGGAGAAACCGCCAGCTCCTACCGTACTGTGTGGAGTAGCCGCCCGCGCGCATCCCGCCAGCCGCTAGGCGCTCTGACTTCGGGCTGCCCAACTTCAAAACCGCTCACTCTACCCATTTATCCATTCACCCACCCGTCCGTTTGTTCATTCATTCGCCCATTCGTCCATTCATTCATTATCCACCCACCCATCCATCTACACCCCTCTCCTCTCCCATTCACAGTCCATCCACACATCCATCCACGCACTCACCCACTCATCCGCCCACCCACCCATGTAGCCAGTAATCCATTCATCCTCCCCTCTCTCCCTTTCCCACTCGTTCACCCATCCATCCACACACCCATTCATTCATCCATCCATCCATTCACCCATCCGTCCCTGCAGCCAGTAACCCTCCCATCCACCTCTCTCCTCCCACTCACCCTTCATACACCCATTCGTCCATCTACCCATCTATCTCTTGCTTACAGCCTCACTCATCCACTTACGCCCCCATTTTATCCATTCTTCACCTGCTTTCCTCTTCATTCCTGCATTTCCCCATCACTTACTTACCTTCTTCCCGTTGATTTTATCGTTATGACTAGGATGTGTGTGTCACATACATGCTAGGTGGGGTCGCTCTCCTTTAGTTGTGGTGCTCGCACATACTTGGCTATGATTTGTGGAAGTCATTTGTGAGCGGTACATGCAGTGCGTGGCACTGTATGAAACTCTCAGCCATATACTTGAAAGACTGGCACTTTACCCATGAAACCTTCTCTTCACCCCCGTCATTAGTTTTTTTTTTCTTTTTGGGTCACACCCAGCGATGCTCAGGGGTTTTTCTTGGCTCTGCACTCAGGAATTACTCCTGGTGGTGCTCCGGGGACCATATGGGATGCTGGGTTGCCTCCTGCAAGGCATTTAAGTACCCAACCTGCTGTGCTATCGCTCCAGCCACCCCCCATCATTAGTTTTTTGTTTGCTTGTTTGTTTGGGTTTGGGGTTACCACACCTGGCAGTGATCAAGATTTACTCCTGGCTCTGTGTTCAGAGATTACTCCTGCAGGCTGTGGAAACAATATAGGGTGCTATGGATCAAACCTGGATTGACTGTGTGCAAGACAAGTGCCCTTCCATGGGGGTACGGTGCTGCCAGCAGGTCAATCTGTACCTGTGAGGCAAGTGCATCAGCAGCCTGGTGGCACCTTCAGACTTCTAGATACCCCAAAATTGCTGCTGTGCCTTTGGCCAGACCCCAAAAACTTGGGGCAAAGTTTACCAAGAAAGTAAATGGCCAAAAGTTAGGTATGTGGGAAACACACCCACAAACCGCCTCCGGCTCAGCTATACAATTGGAGGCATGGCCTCTCTGGTTCCTGATTGAACTGCTTAATGGCCATGATCCCAGAGACTCAGAAACAAATCTCAAAACCCAGCGGCTTTTGGCAGAAATGCATCTGGTCCCTGCAGTAGGTTACTGGTGCTGGGCCACCCCAGGTGGAAATAGGTTTCATGTCTTGGCCTGTTCCCCCTGGCAACCCGGTGGTCGCCATCCTCCAGAGGCCAGTGGACAGTCAGGTTTGGGCCCGCAGTGGCAAGACACTCAGGGCCTCATGGGATGGGGGTGGAGCCGGTCCTATCCTCCCCACCCCAATGAGACTCCAAGTCATCACCCACGAATGGCCTCTCTGGCTCCTGATCAAGCTGCTTAATGACCATGATCCCAGAGACTCTGGAACAAATCTCGAAACCCCGTGGCTTTTGGCAGAAATGCGTCCAGACCCCACAGTAGGTTACTGTTGCTGGACCACCCCACGGGGGAAAGGGTGTTATCCCTCCACCTGCTCTCCCTTGGTGGCTCAGTGGCCGTCATCCTCCAGAGGCCATTGGACAGTCAGGCTTGGGCCTGCAGTGATGAAACTTTTTGAGCATGACGGGATAGGGGTGGAGCCGGTCCTGTCCTCACCATCCCAATGAGACCCCAAGTCATCGCCCATGAACAGCCTTTCTGGCTCCTGATCAAGCTGTTTAATGGCCATGATCCCAGAGACTCAGGAGCAAATCTCGGAACTCAGCAGGTTTTGGCAGAAATCCCTCCAGATATAAGTGTTAAAATTTCAGAATTTCAAAATAGCACAGCCACTACTGCAGCCAAGTGACACCATATGTTATTCATAACCAGTAATAGAAAACAAATTATCTACTGTTGCCTTTTCAGCAGATCTGAGTGTTGGGGTAAAATCTCAAATAGTAATCGTGGGTCGGGTGTCAAAATATTGAATGTGATCAAAGTAGAGAGAGAATAATGTGGAAATCATCTGCTCCACAGGTAGGGGGAGAATGTGGAATGGAGGTATACTGGGGTTGTTGGGGGTGGAGAATGGGCACTGGTGAAGATATGGGTGTTTCATTGTATGACAGAGACTTAGACCCAAAAGCTTTGTTGTAACTGCTTTCACGGTGATTCAATAAGTAAGATTATAAAAAACGGGGGAAAAAAAAGTAAGGTTGAGTTCATGCACAATTCAATCAGCTAATCAGTGGCTGAATAAAGAGCAGTACTCCTACATCTAAAAAAAAAGACAAGTGCCATTCCTCTTATACTATCTCTCTAACCCCAAAATAGATTAGTTTTTATCATTTTACATTTTATCCACACACTCACACCTCATCTATAAAGCCAACCAATCAGGGAAACCTTTATCCTACTTGCCCAGCACATAAACAACTATTGGATAAAATCCATATGTAGCCTCAGTCATAGAATGAATTCGACATCTGGTGAGGTCAAGCAAGTCACACAATTTCATTGCATACAAAGCAGGAATGACCATTCTGCTCTCCACTGAGGCTTTTTCTGGGCATTGAATTAAATAATGTTTTCCAAAAGCTAGCACAGTACATGGGTAACAGTACATGCCTAATAAAGGTTCTTTGATGACATAGCTCATCATATATACTGTCCTGTCCTGTTCTGCCCTCCCATTGTCCATTGATTTGCTTGAGCAGGCACCAGTAACGTCTCCATTGTGAGACTTGTTGTTACCGTTTTTGGCACATCGAACACACCATGGGGAGCTTGCCAGCTTTGCTGTGTGGGTGTGATACTCTTGGTAGCTTGCTAGGCTCTCCGAGAGGGGCGGAAGAATCGAACCTGGTTGTCCGCATGCAAGGCAAACGCCCTACCCGCCGTGCTATCACTCCAGGCCACAGTACTATCCTGGTACTATGTACCAGTACATATAGTACTATGTACTATTAATACATAGATACATAAATGTATAATATATATCATATATACATAGATACAAATGTTACTTTGTGATATAGATTTGAGATGGAGTAAAAATTTCGCAGCCCAGACGAACCCCTCTCCTGACATCAACGATCACTTCTTTGTAGAATGGTGAGATCCTGGTAGTGAATCCGCAATACAGCTCACAGAGGATCTTGATGTATTGAGCTTGAATGCCCTGATTGGCTAGGGCTTCAATGACCGCTTCCATCTCAACAGAATCAAAGGCCTTCTTTAAATCAATGAACATTAGACAGAGCGGCATCTTGAACTCCCAAGAAACCTCAATGAGCTTGGTTATCGTGTGGATATGGTCGATGGTGCTGAATCCTTTCAGCATAGTCACAGAATAAATAATATCAGCTAAGACAATGTCCCTGAGTTTCTACAGCATCCCAGGATGCTTTGCATCTAAAATGAAATTAGATTCCTAATTTTCCTTGATAGCATTTCCTTTTCATTCTTTGTATAAACCTTTGACATCCCCTTGTATTTAAAGTTAATGAGACTAATCATCTGCCTCTTGCCAGTCAGACCGGAAGGAAATTTAGGTGCAAGCTCAAAGTGTGGGCAGTATCAGGGACAAGTAAAGTAAAGTAAAGTAAAGGCCCTCCCGTTGATCATCGATTTGCTCGAGCAGGCCCAGTAACGTCTCCATTGGAGACTTTGTTGTTACTGTGTCTGGCATATCGAATACTCTTGGTAGCTTGCCGGGCTCTCCGAGAGGGGCAGAGGAATCGAACTCGGGTCGGCCATGTTGGCTGCGTGCAAGGCAGACGCCCTACCCGCTGTGCTATCAGGGACAAGGTGAGCACAAATTCTTGGCTCCCAACGAGTTGAGGAGCATATGGAAGGAAGCATATGGCATCATAGGAGGGAGAGTTGGGGTGTTCACAATGACTGACTCTTTCACTGGCATATGCTGAGCTTCCTACAATGCTAAGGACAAAGACTCGTCTTGGACAGTCCCTGTTGAGATATCCAGTGAGGTTAAGACCTGTGTAGGCCTCAGGTTTGGAAGTGACCACAATTGTGTTGGTATGAGGCTCCATGAACCAGGAATTCCTGAACTTTTGCTTCCTCTCCTCTCCTCAAGGCAACAAGGATGAAATAAGGCAAAACAAACCATGTCACACTGAAGACCATTAGCCTTAGTCAGTCGGAAGCCTTTATTTCTTGAGCTGTTATAGCCCTATAGTCTGCTTTAACTTTTACCCCCTGACTCCAAACCCAAGTTTGGAGCTTCACTGCTATAATTGTGGAAAGTAAAATCTCTAGAGTTGTGGAGAGAATTCCATATCTATGGCTCACCCAAGCTCTCACTTGGTTATTTAAAACACAAAACATCTATCTGCCCTCCTTACCTGTGTAACCAAAAAATAAATACATGATCAGTGCAGTTGTGTGGTCTCTCTCACCTGCCACATGAATTTGGTGGCTATGAATTACAACACCCCCCCCCCCCAGCCCCGGCCTGCAGCATGAAGGA